TCATTCATAGGGACCTGCCAGTAGCCGGATCGAAGATCTAAGGAAGAAAAGAACTCTACTCCTTGAAGGCAGCCGAGGGTGTTATCTATTATGGGCAGCGGATAAACATCTTTTCTGGTGATCTTGTTAAGACGCCTGTAATCAACGCAAAATCTGATGCCGCCATCCTTTTTTTCACCAGTACAACCGGAGAGGCCCAAGGACTGTTTGAAGGTTTCATTACACAACGTCGAAGTATATTGTTCACTTATCATCAATGACACGGCGTTCAGCGTGAGAAACTCGATAGGGGTGCTGGCGCAAAGGTGCATGGCTACCGGTGTCGATTTTGTGAACGATGGCAGACGTGCGACCCCAAGAAGGTTAGCTATGGTCAAATCAGATCTGAAGCGATTGAGTAAAGCCAGGAGTTGGGTGCGCTGAGCAGCGGGAAGTTTAGTGTCAATCGATGGGGAAAAAACCTCCGGAGATGATGTGGGAGTGGTATCAGAGGTGATGGTGTTTAAGTGAGATAATGACAAGTCATCAGGTAGTTGACTGGATGAACCAGAATCGATTTACTCAAGGTGACCGAGGAGTGCACCGCGAAATAATATGGCCGGGGAAGGAAGCGAGTTCGTTATATACAGGAGCCACGTGAGTTTTCTACGGTGACAACTGCGAATCGGAGAAGGAAGCTTTGCTTTTGCGAGAGCCGAAGGTGTCGGAAGGAATAAAGAGGGCGGTCACAGAGGGTGCGTCGTCGCAGAAGAGTGCCACATGAACACAGGATAGAGGAGGGATGTGAGTGTCCGCGGCTACGGTGACTCGGGAATATAGCGGCTTGAAAGAAGGTCATTCAGACGTTGGCGCTTCACACAGGGGCAGTTCACACATCGTCGACAACTCTAGTTCTGCACGCGCACAGTGAAGGACGGCATGATGAGCGCAAAGGAAGTCCCAGCCTAAGATGATATCGTGTGAACAGGGGGAAAACACAATGAATTCGACTACATACAAAATATTTTGGATGACCAGTTGAGCTGCGCACACCGCAGAAGGTTGGATGTGATGCGCAGTGGCCGTGCGGAGAGAGACATCGGAAAGCGGCAGCGTAAGCTTCTTCAACTTGCGGCACAGTTCAACACTTAGCACAGACACGGCAGCACCAGCATCAACGAGCGCTTTCGTAGGTACACCATAAATTTGCACAGTTATTTCATTGGCAGGTAAAACCGGAGGCCTTGAAGGTTTGGATATGTGCGCAGCTCTTGCCTCGGGAACTGCAATGGTCAGTTTTCCGTTTGGGTGGGTGGTGATGTAGGAAGCATCGGAGAAATAGAGCGGTGCCGTGGTGAGGGCGACCGATTTCTGTCGAAGCCGCGTCGACGTGGCGGCGACTGATCCGACGTGGGGGGGGGGGGACGAAGACGGTTGTGGTGGCTCTGGACGATAGGAGTCGTAAGTCGCCTCACCAGCTGTTAGGTTGTAATCCCGAAGACGGCAGTAGCGTGCTACATGACCAAGAAGCTGGCAGAAATAGCAACTTGGCCTGTTGTCTGGAGTGCGCCAAGGGTTTGTTGATGGTGGTGTGGGGTGGCGAACAGGAGGTGGGTGGCGACGGGTAGGTGGACTTGCTGCGTAGAGGGGACGGGGCTGTTTAGCAAGATCCGTGACGGTTGGTAGCGACGGCGGCGATCGTCTGGCGGCCTCAGCGTAAGTGAGAGGGGCGGAGATAGGCGGAGGATTGTATGTGGGAAACAGGGCGTCAGAAACTTGCTCTTCGATTCCCTTGCGGAGCGTTGGGATCAGCGTGTGCGCACTGGTCGGGACGTACGGCACAAGAGACAATTAGCGCGAAACTTCTTCTCGGATAAACTGCTGGATTTGCTGCATTAACGTGGTTTGTTCGGAGGAAAGAGCGCCAGTGGTTAACCCAGATGTAGAGGTCATGTCGAGGTTTGACGTCGAGTAGAAATCTGCTCTCTCCGCAGCTCGTCGAAACTCTGACAGTGCTGAATAAGTTGGGTGACGGTTTGCGGGTTTTTCGCAACGAGCATGTGAAAGGCGTCGTCCTCAATACCTTTCATGATGTGCCGTATTTTGTCAGTGTCACACATGTCGGAATCGATACGACGGCAGAGGTCCAGAACATCCTCAATATATGAGGTAAAGGTCTCGTCTGAGCACTGTGCGCGGCAGCGCAGGCGCTGTTCGGCGCGGAGCTTGCGAACAGCGGGTCGGCCAAAGACTTCTGCGAAGTGCGTCTTGAAGGTTGACCAAGAGAATATTTCCGCTTTGTGGTTGTTAAACCACAGTTCTACCACACCCGCGAGATAGAAATTGAGGTAAGCGAGCTTATCTGTGTCATCCCACTTATTGTGGGCGCTTACCGCTTCATACTGCGACAGCCAGTCTACGGCGTCTTGGTCATCGGTCGCGTTGAAAACCACTGGATATCGCTGTCGTGGCATTCCGGAACAGGTGACAGATGGGATTATCACTGCAGGGGGCTCGGTCATGTTGTCAGGCATTGGCTAGGCGAGGAGCTGAGGTAGAGTCCGGGAACGGAGTTCCAGTTTGAGACAACCAGCACTCTCCACCAAATGTAAGAATACTGTTAGACGCACGCCGGGGTGGAGCAATCGTTTATAGGGCCTAACAGCACCGAGACAGCAACCAGCGGTTTCAGCAGCAGCTGCAGCAGCACGAGCCTTCGCTGCAACAAACGTCTTCTTCGTCGTTTTAGAGCCCGTATTTGTCACTACAATATATATATATATATATATATATATATATATATATATATATATATATATATATATATATCAATGGCCAGTTAGTCTTTGTGAAGGTATGGGATATGGCACAAACGGGAGCGTTGTCAACAAGGATAAATATATTTATTTCCCAACAGTTTCGGGAGGGGTCCTCCCTTTATCAGGGGATGAGTTATACTGACACGAATTTCCAAACTTCGTTGCTGCCGCGTCCCTCTCGCCTTGAAGCATGTTTGCGAGAGTGAGAGGGAACTGGAAAAAAAGGGGGGGAGAAAAAAATAAAAAGAAAGAAAAGAAAGAAAGTAAAAAAGAGGAAGAACCACTGTCAACACTGACCACTTGATGACCATTGAAGGAAAACGGACGAAGATTAAAGGTAAAAAGAGCCGACCGACCCATTAACGGGAGACCCTTCCTTTACGCACGCCGCATGCCGACCGACCCATTACGGGGAAACCCTTTCTTTACGCACGCCGTCACGGACCCTCCCGGCACCGCGGCGACAATCTTGGGTGGCCCGACACACGTCGAGAACTGAACAGCACGTGATAAGAAACGTATGTGGACGTACACGGACAGTTGGTTTCGTTCTCAGTGTTGACAGTGGTTCTTCCTCTTTTTTCACTTTCTTTCTTTTCTTTCTTTTTCTTTTTTTCTCCCCCCCTTTTTTCTATTTCCCTCTCACTCTCGCAAACATGTTTCAAGGCGAGAGGGACGCGGCAGCAACGAAGTTTGGAAATTCATGTCAGTATAACTCATCCCCTGATGAAGGGAGGACCCCTCCCGAAACTGTTGGGAAATAAATATATTTATCCTTGTTCACAACGCTCCCGTTGTGCCATATCCCATACCTATATATATATATATATATATATATATATATATATATATATATATATATAATATATATATATATAGGGAGAAAGACAAAGAGAGAATAAAAAGCAATTTCAGACAGAAAGCTAGCACTTTCATGACAAAATGATCGTTATCACGCACACACGCAGCACAAAAAAAAACGCACGAAGACTTCGCGAATCGAACAATGATTTGCAACAGAATCGAAAGTTGGGCTAGTTGGATATGCATGGTCCTCTTCCTTGTCCTCTCTTTCTTTCTGTTTATTCGTGCGCTTGAACTGACAGTTATACGAAAAATGATGGTGACGGCATGATGCTATTTTGAAAAATGCTTATGCAACTCATCAAGAAATGCTTGACGGTTAATGTCAGATGCCATACTGTCGAGAAGACCATGAACAATAGCACGGGGAAGTGCTGATGATTTGAAAGCGTCAGTTGATCCACTTATGCGTTTAATGCGATATGGATTACGTAAGCAGGGTGATATGCGTGAAGATGCTTCCAATGATAAAGGTAATGCATTCACGCTGGAGAGACATTTATGCAATAAATTTGAAAGTATAACGATGTACATTTAATGACACAAGGGCTATATAATCTTTGATCTGCATTATGCTGCGAAGTGGACATATGAAGATTGTTGGGTCTTTGCTTCCCGGAACAACGATATAAGTATGAAACAGTATGGTGCAGAACATGAGAAATTTTCACCTTTAGGGGTTGTTTAGTGTGCTCAAAAATCCAACTGCATGAGACTCTAGCATTACACCGCCATCACAATGCGGCTGCGGTGGCCAGGATTCGATCCCGTGACCTGCGGGTCATCACTTGAGTACCGTAACCTGGGGATCACCTTGGGAGCCTGAAGGAAAGACCACAGGCATATTGCTTCACATGTTCATTGTTCTTCGCTTTTGTCCTGTCGTAAATGGCTCTTTTTCTGTATTAATTGCATTGAGTTGTTCCAAAGTGCACAGACGGACGAGATCTGTTACTCGGCCGCTTCAAGCAGAGTGAACGATGGCGTTCGCGTTGGCCGTTAAACTAAGATTCAGCTCGAGTAAGTTCTAGAGCAAGCTGCAGAATAAGCATGAGTGTTCGCGTCTTGCACGCTATCTGAAGAGAACAATCTACAATGATCGCAAACCTTCTCGAACAGCGAGGGTCAGTTTGCGTTGAGCATTGCTGACAGACTGTGTGGGACAAAATCAAATAAAAAATAGGTGAAAATAAGAAATGCGCGTGGCAGTGTTATGAGTACGTCGCTGATTCTGAGACAACAATGACATGAGGATTCTGCATGGTAAGCTGAAAGGACATTTTGAGCCGAAGCTATTATAGCTTGTGGCCAGCATGATGACTAAGGTTCATTTTTCAGATCAAAGCTTTCGCTGGGTTGGCACCGTTCTACAAGTTGGGACACCTAAAAGTACCGCCGTTAGCTGCGTTTTCACCTTATGCCGAAGCACCATTGGTACGTATAAAATCCACTTATTTGTTTATTGACTTGATCTATTGTTACAATTAAAGCTTGACTGCCTCTTGGGTCTTTCCGTGCCGAACGTCACAGACAGCGTGCTCAGCCTGTTCATACTTAGAAAAAAGAAGACGATTGAGCTTTGCCTAGAATATAACGCAATAGCATAATATGGCGTCATGGGTATCGCCTTCTCAATTGCTAGCATCGCTTCGGTGCATGCCTCAGCCACGCCGTAAGGAGATAAACAGCTAGCCGCTTACCATTATCCGTGTAGAAGTGTCCTGGAATATCAACGGCATGTGGTTGTTATGTGCCAGCAAATGCTCTTCTGAATATGGGTTTTCACGTGCTCCAAATTATCGTCATAACGTGTCCTGCTGGGAATCAGTGAAGGCCCGGCAACGCGACCTTAAAGCGGTGGTGTAACGAAATTTCTAGGCTATCCTAAAACCGTTGTGGGTTCGCTCTGTATGCGAGGAATCTCCACACGAAAGGTCGGACAAAACAAACGCGTAGAATATGATAAATGCGAAGCATTTCTTAGCGAACTTCGGTGACTTTGAGCGTATCTATCTATCTATCTATCTATCTATCTATCTATCTATCTATCTATCTATCTATCTATCTATCTATCTATCTATCTATCTATCTATCTATCTATCTATCTAGCTATCTATCTATCTATCTATCTATCTATCTATCTATCTATCTATCTATCTATCTATCTATCTATCTATCTATCTATCTATCTATCTATCTATCTATCTATCTATCTATCTACTATTATCTATCTATCTATCTATCTATCTATCTATATCTATCTATCTATCTATCTATCTATCTATCTATCTATCTATCTATCTATCTATCTATCTATCTATCTATCTAGCCGCCTACGACTTTTAGCTTTCCTGGCCGTGTCGATAATGGTATCAATACCAAACTTGGTATGGCTTAACATCACTGTATGAAGAACACAATTAACTAGTCATAACATGAAAATCGTGACTTGTATGTCATGAATGTCATGATTTGCATTTCATGGTCCTGAAGCTCTTGCGGTGGTTTCGTGTACATGGCATGTTGCCAAACTGGTATGGTATGGCATGATTGCATGGCATACACAAGTGAAATACCCTAATATGAAAGTGATGACATGCGTATCATGTAACAACATGACTACTTGCCACGCTCATGGTGTGCTCGCGACCGTTTCGCTAGCGTCACATATACCAAATTTTGTATTACGATACGTGAATGGATGACGAAGGTATGTGACTGGTGCAAACATGATACGCATAAGAAGCATGCCATGTAACAACATGACTACATGCCACGCTCATGATGCGCTGGTGGCCGTTTCGCTAGGTTCACTTATACCAAATTTGGTATTACTGGACGTGAATGGATGACGAAGGCATGATAATTTTGCCAACATGATAAACATGAGATGCGTGTCATGTAACAACATGACTCCATGCTACACTCATGATGCGCTCGCAGCCGTTTCGCCAGCTTCACATGCACCATACTCGGTATTACGCGACGCGAACGGACGACATAGGTAAATGCCACATCCAAACATGGTAATCATGACTTGCGTCTCCTGTAAGAACATGACTACAAGTCACACCCTTGATGCGCTCGCGACCGTTTCGCTAGCTTCACATGCCAATGGAAGACGAAGGTATGTGACTGGTGCAAACATAACAATCATGAGTTGCGTGTCACGCAAGAACATAAATACATGCCACCATCAAGGCGTCAATACATTTCGACATGACGTGGTGCGCATGCTCGCCGGCGTTCATTTCGTCGCGTCACGCCAGGGTTGCCACGCCAGGCGCCAGTCCTGCCATATACTCGTAGGTGCGCGCCGCGCTGCGATGCTTTGACGCATGCGCGTTTCAGTGTGTCCTTTGTCCCTCCGTCTCGAAAAGAGGGAGACTCAGTGTTGTCTGGGTAACGCATCGGTATAAAGTAATGTTACTCTATGGCATCGGCGCGAAATGCATCATGTCGCATTTCGCGCTGTTTGCTATCGGGCCGCGCCGATGGACGCTGGTCGTGCCTGGCGTCAGGCTATAGAGTGGCCGCATTTTCCTAACGTAGTGTCCCTGTGCCCAGCCTGCGTGCGCGTCAACGCTCCATTGGAGTATATTGAGCCCTTCATGATGCACTAGCGGCAGCTTTGCTTGCTTCACATATGCAAAATTTGGTGTTACGTGGCGTGAATGGATGTCGAAATATATGACTGTTGCAAACATCATTACCATGACACGCGTGTTATGTAAGAATATGACAACATACCACGCTTATAGCTGCTCGCAGCCGTTTCGCTAGCTCCACATAAGCTAAATTTGGTATCACGTAAAGTGAATAGATGACGAAGGGAAACGACACATCCAAGTATGATAATTATGACGTGAAAGTGATGTACGGCCTCATTTACCTCCATCTCGTAATGTTGTGCTGATATTAAAGTGAAATATCAACATTTTTCACTCTTGCTTCGCATATCATCGACCCCAGTGTACGTGGGATCTGTCAATTTTTTTTCTTCACCTTTAAAAGTGCAGCTGGATGCGCACTCTTACGATCTAGACCCATTGCTTGCGCAGCAACACTGACGTTTCAGAATAGGAGAAGCAACGGCAGTTGTCCTGACGTCACACCATATCTGTCATGACGAGTGTGTTGGCGTCCCTTGCAGAGAAACTGCGCATCCGGCAAGGACACTGGGTGCTTTTGAAGAGACGCTCGACGCGTCCTTGTCCGTCAGAGACGCCGCGCGCGTCCAACAGCGGGGCTGCCGCGCGCTCCTTTAGCGTATCAGCTCCTATAAAAGGCCGGCGCATCTAGCGTCAGGCGGCTTCCTTGTCCACGTTCTGCACATACGCTGTAAATATAAATGCTTTGTTTCCTTCTGGCTGCCTTTTGCCTTGCCACTGCCTGGATGCTACTGCAGCTGGCCATGGCGACTGTCAGCGCGTTTGTTTTGCTGGCGGTTGTGTGACACGTGCGTGTGAGAGCACACGAAACTCAGAATGATGTGCGTCACAGCTTCGTGTGGTCACGTGGCAAAGCCACCTATGCATCGACGTCACTTCCTAACTGGGGGCCGCAAAACCGAAACCGAAAATGGTCCACATAGGTAGACCAATATTAAACTAATTACCGAAAATACAGGAATCTTGGTGCGTGTATCATGCTTCCTGGAGCTGAAGAAAACGCTTGCAGCAAAAAACACGCATTCCAAAAGTTTAGTGTCACCACCCCTTAGAGCAACAAGTGAGCCTGTCACAGCTTTTCACTTTGTTGGTGCTTTCGCTGCTTATGATGATGACCATTATGCCCGAGTGGTTTGCGATCAGTAGGTATTCAAAAGACACTCTATTGCTACTACCCTATTTCGAAACCTGGCGCTATTTTACCCTTTTATTACAAAGTACTGCATGGGTTAAGGAGACTGCTTCCGCAACGTGATATTAAAATACGTGAGGCACATGTAGCTTTTTTCCAGCAGCTGTTTTGCAATATAGCGTGGATCCATGGTACAATGGCTGCTTACCATGCCAAGTGTCTGTGTTCAATTCTCAGTCTGGCTAGAAAACTTTTATTATTTTATTTTCAAATTTTTTGGGTTTTTGGTCACGGACAAGATTATGATTCTCTGCTCGCAACCATGACTCTCTCACTAACATCATGCCAACATGGGAATTTCCGTGAAACGACGTTTTTCACACTATTGTGTGTAAATGAAAAATAATCAGTTTGGAGCAATATTTGATCTCCATGGTATCTTTGCAGGAACCAAAATGTTTTCCCTTAAAAGTTAAAACTTCCTTAAAAACGCAAAACTACACAAAGCACCCCAATTATCCGCTGTCTATTAAAAATGATATAGCGCCTTTTTATCCAACCCTATTGGCGTTCATCATTCTGTCTCACGATATGCTTTGCCATGGATCAAACGGTGATTTTCTTCTCGATTGAACAATTTTTTGATAAGTTCTGCGAAGAAAAAAAAACAACATAATGCAACAACATCGCATACTTTAGTTGAAAATATTGATATGAGACTTTCGTCAAAGTGGTAAAGAGAAAAAAGAAGTTGCAGCGTTCTGGGCTAGGCTTTTCTTTTGCAATCATTCCTTATCCCGCCAGTAAAGTAAATACATCTCACTGTAACAGGATTGATGGACAGTGCTGGGTATCGTCTGAGAGCCCCAGAAAAATACGGCAGAAGACACACACGCGAGATTCACCAAAGCCACAGACTCGCAGGAGTTCTACCTCTACCAGTTATGAACCCTAACGGTGATATCCAACTACTTGCGCCAGCACCCTGGACAGCATTACAGGGAGCTGCAATTTTCCTCTGGGAAACTTGGACAGGACTTCGAGAAATGGCTCAACACTATAGGCGGGTGAGTCTGTGAAACAACAGGGATACATACTACCGGACAGAGGATCTACGTACCACGTTTCCTTGAGGGAACCGCGTTGATGTGGTACGATAACCATGACGAGAATCGGACTATGTAGGCGAACTTTGTTGACGAAATCAAGAAGTGTTTTGGCGATCCAGCTATGACAAAGTAGCGTGCTGAGCAGACCCTGAACGAACGTGCTCATGTCCCTCAGGAGACGCGTACCATGTACCGAGAGGAAGTTCTCAAGCTGTGCAAGCGTGTGGACCCACTTATGACTGATAAGGAAACTGTGGGGCATATCCTCAAGGAAATTGTGGAGAATATCTTCCAGTATATGATAGGAAAAGCTGATTTGCAGTTGTCGAATGACATCAGCCAACATCGTCGAACATCTGAGGCTCTCAAAGCTCGACACACTTCGGTAAATTTGAGTCAGCTCCCCAATGTCACTAGAATCGCGGGTATTGATGTGGGCACTCCGCCCGGCAATCTGGCGTCAACAATACGACAAATAATCTACGAAGAACTTGATCGGCGGGACGCTGTTGTGAGGTCGAC